CCCCTTGCAGCTCGTGTAGATGGAAAAGTTTCCTTGAAAGAGCTGAGTAGGCTTGAAAAATCAAATGTCAAGCAATCTTGAAGAACCATCAAATTCTTATACATTAAAAATTTCAAAAAAATACAAAAATTAAAGCAAATAGTCAGGTACTGAGGCAAAAACGGACGCATTCGTAATGTAATGAGTAATACAAAAACAAACTATGTGAAAAAGAAAAAATATTCCAAAATATTTTTAAACCAAAACCTCGTTTTAATAAAATTAAAATAAAATTACCTCAAGAAAAAGCCTTGCTGTGGAAACACAAAACTCGTGACTATGCAGGACATGGAGATGGATATGATGAAACTCTACTAGACACATTTTAACACAAGAGGGAAAGGGAAAAAGATGACGACTTATACATTAAAATGTTTAAGAAACGTGTGAGCGTATAAACAACAAAAAGATGCAGTTCAAAAATACATATGAAATCTAAAACCATAAAATGTTTCAAAATTAAAACCATGGAGTCATGGAGTTGGATATGATGTACCTTTATTGGTCACATGCCGAGGCAAAAATGGTAGCAAAAGCATTTATAACATAAAAGAGTCCAAAGTATCTACATTTAACTGTATTAAACCAAACTCTTCATGTATCTCAAAAAAAAAAAGGTCCAAATTATTTCCAACGGAAAACAATGCTTATAATATTTTCTAAAGAGGCTTCACCTTGAAAATACAAAATGCCAATTTTAAAAGACCGACAACAAATTTGTTCCCATGGAATATATCGAGATAGATACGAAAATCCAGAAGTCGTTAACTTGAAAGCGATGATTAGAATTAAAAAATTAAAATACGGCGTTTAACCAATACAAAAGAAAAATTACATGATAACGAACAATCGAAATCCTATAACAAAAATGTCTTTTTTTTTATTTTTTTATTTATTTACACTCTTTAGACAATAAGTAAATTTAGTTTGTGTAGGAATAATGAGTGTTGAAGTACACACATACATACACACATAGTAGGATTTTGTTTTTTCAGTTTTAGTCGTTTAGCCTCACTCATTACTGAACGTTAAAGAGTAAACAAGTTAACGTGCTCAGAAAAATAAAATAATAAATATTGAGATCGACTAAACCAACAAGTATTTTATTTTATTGTGCACATTTCAATAGTTAGCTACACTTAAAATTAACAGGAGTAAAAAAGTTTCCAGTGAAACGCACTTTTATAGTTTACTTATTTTGTGTGTAAGATTGAAGTTCTACTTGTTTGAATTATCTATTCGGGAGATCGAGAATATGCACTCTTTGAAGTTTTTTTACTGCTGTTTGATTTAAGCCAAGTTTATTCTGGTGGTTGTGAAAAGTCGATCAATGTATTTTGTACTTATTTTATTACATGAAGAATTCTTTTACATGAAGAATTTTTATATCTTTGTTCTTGCATTAGAGATGTAGAAAGGAGCATTTACTATGGTTCGCAATATTTTTAGCTGATCGCTGAATAATATCAATATAGGAGCGCTAGTAATACCCCACAGTCGTAAGGCACAAGTCCACACATGCTTGAGGATGGCTTTATACAGGCGAACTTTGTTCTCTAGACTAGTTTGAGATTTTCGGCCTAACACCCAGGACACTCGTTGTGTCTTTAATTTAAGTTGCTGCCGTTTTGCCTTAATATGATTTTTCCATGCATGTAAATCTTCGATCGAGATTCAAGCCAAAATAGAGGGATTTTATGGCCTTTACTTTTATTTCCCAACGGAGAAACCAGGCTTCAATTATGTTGAGTTCCGACTGCCGGTGTTGGGCAGCTCCGTCCTTTGATGAGCTAGTTGCTATAATGGATGTGTCATCCGCGTATGTTGCAACTGTTGTGTTAGAAACTGGCATGTCAGCCGTGAACAGGGTATACAAGGCAGGCCCTAAGACGCTTCCTTGCGGAGCACCTGCATTTATGGAAACAGTTGCAGTTAAAACCTCAAACTGTGTGCAGTAGAAAAATTGTTCAATTTTTCAACTTAGTAATAATAATACTTGAGGTAAGATGCTGATAGTACTTTTAATTAAAAAAAAAATACATTACAAATTAGGCAAAGATTTGCGATGAAAATATGAATGCAGCATGTGCTTGAACATAAGAACAAAAATGCATTTACAAATTTTATAATATAATATACATATATTGGACTCAAATCAATAAATATCAGAGTTTGTCCATTAAATAAAGCGTAGCCTTATTTTTAGTAGAAATAAAAATATATATTAAAAGCTAAATAATAAAAAGCGACAGTAACGTGTAGAATATGGACAAAGTCGTACACAAAACAAAAACAAATTATCTTTTTAACAGAAAGAACTTTTCAATATTACAAAATAATAAAGCAAAAAGCTTTAAAAAAATTATAAATGACAAACCAAAAATAAAAATTGCAGCAGCTGTATGCACAGGCTGAGAGTTGGAAGACAACTGAATCGAGTTCCAAAAAACTTAGAGGTGAAATAACCTTCAGAACTTCAAAGCCTACTAAATAGATTAGAGTTAAACTTGTTCTTTTTATGTAACTCAATGCCTACTCGATTACTTAAAGTGCACGAAAAGGCCATTTGAATTAAAAAGCAGTGTTGGTAAATTCCAAACAAGCTAAAGTTTATAAGTTCCGTACAGGGAACTAGCATATGATTTGATAAAGCTGTGCTCATACATAATTCCATTATCTGATTTAAAGACTTTTCGTACACAAAAAGACGAACTTATGCCGATTAATCAAAGATCAGCACAGCGTACTTTCCTTTCGCTTTCTATCAGATGGATTATTTGACGCCCGCAATCTTAGACCTGCCAGCATTCGGGAGAGAGACCCGCAAACGCCATCAGCTTAAATCCAAAAGCTGCTTATCGCACTCGACCCAAAAGCACTTAACTTTCGACCAAGGGCTCAAAACAACAACAACAACAACAACAACAATCAGATGAAGCTGGTGGCGCCATCAAGTGTCCATTGTTTCTACCGTTTAGTGAAAGGCAAAGAGAGAGAGGGAGAGAGGGAGAGAGTGAGTTCAAGTTGAAAGCTGCGAGTCAAAGAGCAAGAAGAAGAACTCTAATGTCCAAAGTGTTGGAAGCTACAAATAAAAGACGAATAAAATTATAAATAGAGCACAATTGTTAAGCAAACAACAGAACACCAAAAGACAACATCCAAAATAAAAAAAAAAACTAACTAAAACAAGTTTTGCAAAGCTACCAAAAAAAAAGATGCCAAAAGAAGAGCTGGCACAAAGGCTAAGAAGACAAGGAAGGCGAGCGCCGAGAGGGGTGGCACGAACAGGCAAAGCCAAAGGCAATAGTTGAAAGTCAAAATACGTGGGCAGAGCTTCGACTCAGAGAGCGCAAGTCAGAAGGTTGCTTGACTAGGAGATGCCCTGCAAACAAGCTGAATAACTTCTGGGAAAGTGGAAAGGCGTTAGAAGTAAAAATGAATAAATAAAATGAAATGTAAAATAATCTATGCACTTGTTTTTTTTTTTCAAATTTCAAATCTCGAGATACTTTCCCTTACATATGCAATATGCCCCTTTTCAACAACTTTCAACGGGTAAAGGGTATGCAGAAAACAAGGAATGTGACGTAGCTTATCAAATATCAAGAAAGTGCGTGTCAAAGCGCACAGAAAACCATTTTTATTTCCTTTTACATTTTGCGCTTCCTTCGAACAGTTGCGAGAAACTGTATGTTGTATATATGTATGTATGTATGCATGTATATCTTCATATATATGTACATACATATGCATGCATACGTATGTATGTATGTCTAAGAATTATCGCTGTTGCAATCAATTTGGGCATTCGAGTGTTCTGTCAGCAACCCCAAAATTGGTTGGCCCCATTCCCCCCAAAGCCCACCCCCCTCATACCATAGCCAAAAAATAAAACTAAATCGAATTTACGGTGCATTCAACTTGGGATATCAATAAAAATCGATTTGGCCTCCAACACGGAAGCACTTTGCTCACTAACTGCCCCCTCCCTCCGCTGCCACACCCCCCTCACTTCGTCAACCCGGCTCTTGGTCCTGCTTATTAGGTCGAACGTGCCTAGGCAAATTGTCTGTGCCCGGTTTCCGGCCTTTTCGTTCCAGCCTGGCCCAAAAAAGGGCAGCCCCTCTGCTGTATTGCCAACACCCCTCGCCACCCCCCTACCCTACAACACCCCTGGAACGCTTGAGCTAACAGTTTTCTGGTTATTTGATGGCGCAATAAAAGCCTTTGATTATGATGTCCTCTTATTCCTTTGAGAGCTGCAACTTTTCCTGTACTCCACATACACGCGCGGGGGTATCCGTTATTCCCCCTCCCCCCCCCTCCCCCACACACACACGAATACAACTTTGTTGAACACGCGCTTTTTGCACGTTTCTGTTGTTGTTGTTGTTGTTGTTGTTGTTCAGTCTGGTGCTTGTCTGGTGTTCCGTTATTTACAGCCTCCCCAGCGGAGGGAGTGGGCGGCGCGGTTGAAAAAAAAGAATAAAGCAAATTTTGGAATACTTTTTGTAACTGTGAAGCCACCCGCATTTTGCAGTTAAATTTATGTGAGTTTTTCTTTCGCGTCTGCTTCTTCCTGGCGTCTCCTGAAGGCGCACTTAGGAGACGCAAGATTTTTAGGGCGCATTAAAAATTCATTAGCTCGGCAACTTTGAAGTTTTAATGTGACCAAAACACAATTTGGTTAAACAAAAAAGAACCTGAGGCTACCAAATTGGATTCCATGCACACGATCTGGCCCTATTGAATCTAAAATTCACTTACGCGGATTATTCAAAATGAATCAATGAGTAATTCATTGAGCCTTGAATCATTTCATATATCGTATGATCAAATTAATAGACCAATTGATACAAATAACTTTTAACTGCCTTTCACCTTGAGATATTTGATACTAATGTATAGAAAATATACCTTACATTTTATTTAAAAAAAAAATAATAATATTAATTACTCACCTGAATTGATTTTAATTGGATTTAAGCTCAAATGCAAAATTGAATTTGTATTTGAATTTCGTAGAGGCTAAAAGAACGAGTAGGGGGAGAGAAAACACAAAAGAACTAGATTAATATTCACGCCGATCGAATTTGTTTTTTTTTTTTTTTAATAAATCAAAGCGCAATATCAATTTATTTTATAGAGAAACGAAGAGGACAATAAAAAAAAACCCCGAATATGAATGAAAAGCACGATGAAAACTGGGATAACAAAGCCTCGCGACCTTGGTGGCTGTGTTGTGGGTTGAAAGTAGTGTAGCGGGGGAGGGAGGGGGCTTTTAATGTTCAAGGCCTTTTCTCAGCTACAAGTGCAGTGCGTAATAAATGAACAGTTTGTTCTAATTTCAAGCACACACACACACACACACAGGCACCGAACGTGAGGCTAACTGGACACAGAAGTAGCGCGCGAATGACGTCATAGGTCCGAAAGGATGCTGCGCGGTCTTCACAATAACAATTTGCTCATCTTCAGTTTCAATTCACAATTTCAAAGTATTTCGCACGCATCAAGAAAACGAAAGAAATTACGCGCCCAAATTAGCAGCGAATTTGAATTGCCGCTTTTGCAAATTGTACTTAATAAATTAATTTGCTTATTAACACGAATGCGTTTCTAACATAACGCGGCCACATAAAATTGCACGCAATTGCTGTTCGTCAACGTGCCCGCTGTCGTTTTAAAACCTATTTCGCTGTTTAAGTAATTTTAATGTACAAATAAACGCGCGCGCACAACCTTACCGCAGTGCATTTGCTTCAAGACTGAAGCTATCGATACGAACTGTGTCATCGATTTGAGCGCCTGCACAAGACTCAAATGTGCGCATGCAGCCAACTTCACGCGGCGCACAAATGCGCAGCTAACTCTAGCTAATTAACAGTAAGCTGTTATTAGCAGTTCTTTAACATTTGGCGCACTGCTAGCAATTGAAAGAAAAAAGGGATCGCTTATACATGGCATAAATGTTATTGCGAACACATTGGTATATTTTAACTAATTGACAAAATTGTTGCTACTACAAGACAAACAATGGACTGGAAGTTCTAAATAAATACATAGCGTAACACTAGCTGGGCCGCCGGCGCGATTCAAAAGCCACCTCAATGCGACTGCGTGGCCGCCAGCGCTCCAAAAGGAGCAGCGTAAAGTGGCCGACGACGAGAAAGGCGAGAAACCAGGCGCCACACTGATAAACGGCATAGATCAGTTCGCTGAGTGTGAAGGCGCGCTCCTGCAGCACACGATCGTAGACTTTAACCGTGCGCTGGGCCACATCCTCCCAGTTGTAGAGCGTCTCCACCAGCTCATTGCATCTGTGCGGGCACAGCACCGGCTCAGTTTGGCTGCTCGTTGCCGCAGTTGGGCCACTTATGGCAGGCACACTTTTGACAGACTTCTTGAGGCGCTTACGTCTCGCACGCGCCGTCTCCTGAGGAATGTTGCCGTTTGCAGTTGAGCTGGTGGCCGCGGCAATCTTGCGGTGTCTATCGATGGCCACCAATATGGCGGAATAAATAGCTTCAATGTCCGGCTCAGCGAGCAGTATCAGACTATTTGGCAGCACCTCGGGTATGCCACCCACGCTTGTGGAGACCACCTGCAGACCACAGCTGGCTGCCTCCACAATGGCCATGCAATACGCCTCCGTTAGCGAGGTGTTCACAAAGATGTGGCCGCGCACGAGCACATCCCGCACCTGGGCATGCTCCACGGCGCCCAGTATCTCCACACGATCCTGCATGTTGGTCTTCTCGCGTATCTCCTCGAGCAGATCCCGTTTGGGTCCATCGCCCACTATGATAAACTTAACGTTTGGCGTGTTCTTAAAGCGCGGTATCACCCCGGCCAGCAGATCGATGCCCTTGCGGTAGACCAGACGCGAGGCGACCACAATATTGATGACTCCGTTAACCGGCCGCTGTGCGGGATCGGGCGTAAAGAGAGCCGTGTCCACAGCATTGGGTATAACCGAGACGCGATGCTTGGCAACACGAGCGCGCAGCACCGTGTTCTCCTTGCCAATGTGGGACACGCAGATCGCATGGTTCACCATGCTCAAAGTGATCTCCAGTAGCTTGTTTGTCAGCGCAGCCGACAGATCGGCAAAGCCAAACAAACTGTGGTCCGTGAAGACGGTCTGAAATTTTGAAGAAGTTGAGCGTTTAATAACAATACCCAATATAAAGATTCATCCACCTTCAGTCCTAGCAGAGCGCCCACCATCAAAGCCTCATGGGCCAAGGCACTAAACGCAGAGTGACCATGCACCACGTCCACCTGTTCCCGCAGCAGCACCGCCCGCAGCATGGGCACATTACAGACGGCGGTGGGCAGGATGCATTGATTGTAGCAGACCTTAATGGGCAGATAGTAGACCTTCAGGCCGTGGGTCATGTGGCGTATGCCGGTGCAGTCTCCATAGGCGTGCGTCAGCACAACAACCTATTTTAGGATACGAATTAAAAATAGATTAGATATGAATTGCCGCTGTAAGGATGCACGCGCTCCACCTTGTGTCCCAGCGCCAGCAGCATTTGCGAGAGATTGTAGACATGCTCCTCGACGCCGCCGATGCTGGGATAGAAAAAGTCCGATACCATGCATATGCGCATTTTTTACATTGATTGCAATTTGCCAGCTCACATGCACTTGACATTACACAAATAAAACTTTTATTACAATAATAAAAAAATAAATGAAACTAACAGCTTTGAGTTGTGTTGTTTCAATTGGAGTATGTTAAGCTAAACGGTTCATTGAACCGTTCATGAACAATACGTTCAGTTCTGTAAATGAGTTGCTCATGGCTGAGCTAATTGCCCGAATATCTGGCGTATATTAAAAAATATATTCATGAAGCGAATAAAGAGAGTTTAAAAAAACAAATTACAACGACAACTTGTTTGATTTGATTAATTCAAGCACAATCCAGCTTGCCTGTAAACAATGCTAACATTTCCCATTAACATATCGATAGTCAGTGTGCAGCACACTAACAAATAGAAAATCGATAGTTTTGTGCCAGCCCTTGCATGATAAATAACATTTAATGTGGCGGCATTTTGTGGAAACACTGGCCGCAATTTTGTTTTGATGCACGAAGGACTTGTGAAATTCGCCTAAATTCTTATTTAAATGTGTCAGCAGCATGCCAAACAGCTCGAGAAAGTCGGATGCAGCTGATATGAAGACGCCCACCCGAACGGCGAACAGCAGCAGCAGCAGTGTAAGCTCGACGCCAACAAGCCTCAACCGGCGACAGCCGCGCAAACGACGCCGCATTGAAAAAGATAATCAACATCAGCGCAGACAGAGCCTCGACTCGCAGCTGGGGGACTGCAACATTGAGGATGCCAAAGAGATTGATCGACGGCTGCGCAAGGTGGCACGTGCCAATGCCATTAGCAGCGAGGACATGCACAAAGTAGTGCGTCGTGTCGTTCGCAACGAGCATGTCCTGGCCCTAGTCACACTCAAGGCCGAGGATGAGCTGGCGCGCGAGAAGCGCGAGGCGGCCGCTGCTGACGAGGAGCAGCAACGCGGCGCCATCATCATCACAGAGACACCCTCTGTGCCAAAACTGACGCGCGCCAAGGCACGCGAATTAAATCGCACGCCCGGCATAACTCTGCCGCCGCTAAATGAAACGCCAGTGAATAACGAGATTGAGGCGTTAATACGCGAGGATCTGCACTCGGATGAGGAGGACGAAGAGTACACTTTCAAGGAGGATGATTTCCATGTGGGCTAACTTTTAGATGCACCATCTCGTTCATATTAACACCACATTTCACTCTCAATTGCAGTCGGATGATGATCCGAACACGACGGCCTCCGATTTCGATTCGAATCCCTGCACTCCGCAAACCCCAATGACCGCCAACGAGGAGTCGCCGGTCAAGTTTACCGCCGATGGCTGTTTTAAACTGCCCCCAGACAAAAACTCGGAAGATCCGCGCATCGCAACGCGCACACGCTCCAAGTTTTGTCTGCAGCAAACAACAATCGAGGATTTGCAGTCGGAGTTTGTGCCACCGGACTTGGACCAGAGCGATGTGCCCGAATATGACATGACCGCCAATGATGCGGACTGGATGCAATTCCTCACTGACTTCTCCAAGCCGTTAAGTAAGTGCAATGCATACTAAATCAATCAATCATCCAATAAGTCGGTCAGTAAGTCAATCAATCAAACCAGTTTGTATGTCAAGCAGTCAGCTACTGAAGTAGTCGTCAGTCAGTGCATCAATCAATTAGTCATTCATGGCTCTTTCAGTCAATCAATGACCTAATCAGTACGTCATTCGAGTCAGTCATTCATAAGCTAATCATGCAATCAGTTTGTCAATCAGAAGTGAATCAGTCACACATGAGACAATCGAGCAGTTAGTCAAACAAATAATTCAGTCAGCAAATCGAAAGTCCGTCAATCAGTTAGTTATTCCATCGAAGAATTCAGTCTGACAAGCTTCTCAATCAGTTAGAAGAACAGTCAGTCAATCAATCAGCTAGTCAGTCATGACTCATTCACTCAATCAATCACCCAATCAGCTTGTCAATCGAGTCAGTCATTTCTATGTCAGTTTTTCAATCAGAAATGAATCAAGTGTCAGCATTTCGCAGCATCAATCAATTAGTCGGTCTGTGCATCAGTTCATCAGCCAGGCAATCAATCAGTCGCTAATTCAGTCATCATTCGTGAGTTAATCAATCAGTCTATCAATCATTTAATCAATCAGTAAAAATACTTATTTACACTCATATATTTTATATAGACAACAGCTTTCTTGGCGATGACGACGATCCCATCAATGATCCGGAGTATGTGGCCGCTGAAATGGTAACCGTGGACGCCGAGGAACTGCGCGATGTGAATATATCGAAGAAAGAGCTCACTGATTTGGTCTCGGAACTATTCGCGGGTCTGTTGCAGGAGGGCGTCTCGCTGGACTCAATTGAATTGGAGACGCCGCAAAAGTTTCTCGCCGAACAGTATGTTACGGCGACTGCGCCAGTCGCAGCGCCTGTAGAACCCATTGAGCAGGTGACGCGCCAAATAGACTTTGATGCGCCCGGAACAACTGCGCCAGTTGACATGACCATGCCAAATATGACGGGATTGGAGTCCTTTCAGCCACAGCTTATGTCCACGCCCAGCACATTGTCCGGCCTGGTGCCGGTGCCCATTGCGGAAAGCACGCTCAATAGCAGCCATTTTGATGCATCCTACACAGTAGTTAACATCTCGCCGGGAGCAATCGGACAGCATCCGCCGGAGCTCATAGCTGTGCCGCTGCCAGGTCAGCCCAATTGCTTTCAGCTGGCCAAGGTGCTGGCCAGTATGCCGGCACAGCCGCTGGCGGAGAGCGAGTATCGTCCGGAGTCCTATGAGCCCTATGACATCAACTTCTCCTGCAAATATCTGTCCATCCGGAAGCACATATACTCCGAGTATGAGGCACAATTTGAGAGTTTGCGCCACTTGAAGCCGACGCCAACGCCAAATCCTGAGCCCGCTGCAAGCCATATCAAGGGCTTTACGCAGACGCAGCATGATCTCCTACAGCAGCAGCTGCGCATACACACCCAAATGCTGACACAGACATTCCTGCAGACCTACTCGCATCCTCTGCTCTATGCCATGGCCGAGAAGCCCCGGCAAATGCTGGAGGAGCTGCAGCAACATGCCACTAAGGATGCCAGCTTCAATTGCTGGAATCTGAATGGCGCCGTGGAGCTCATTGACAAATGGCAGCACGATCTCAACAGCGATGAGTACGAGGAGCAAAACAAAGAGATGATGCGTTTTATTAACAAGGAGACGGAACTAACGTAAGTTCTGGATGGTTAACTGCTTCGCCTTCCAACTAATCCGCCTACCCCTCCAATTTAGCGACGGGCACACACGACAGGTGCCACGGCTGCCGCCCCGCATTATGGATCTCATGCTGGACAGCAAGGTGTTTATGTATCCGCAGTATCTGCCGCGGATGGCGTTTCAACCCCGAACTTTGCAGTTCACCGCATACGCGCCTTCGGAGTATCAGCTGATTGCCATGGGCCTGGAGAAGCATCTAAATGCCATTAAGACCTCCAAGCGGAAGTTGCACAAGAGCGCAGATCCCATTCGGGTTGCCTGCAACCGCATGGCCAAGGATCTGCTGCACGGCAAGCAGGGCAGGCGGCTGTTCCTCAAGGTGAAGGAGCTCTGCGACATGGAGCAGTACAATCCTGTCAAGTATTATTTCGAGCATGGGCGCGCTCCGCCCGTAAACCAAATCCTGCTGGGCTTCGAGGGCGGCCTAGTGCAAACGCCGCGCGAACAATACCATGCGCTGCCCAGCGCCTGGAAGTATTATTTAGAGGTGAGTGCGTCTATCTATATTAAACTATGTTTGATTGATGCGTGGATTGGCTGATTGATGAACGACGTGCAGCTCAAACCGCACGAGCTAGGAAGCTGAAATTTTCACAGCTAATATTTATGATGCAAGTGACTTAAGGTTTTCTAAAGTTCCGTGCACAAGTGTGGAAAATCGGAGAAAAGCTGTTGGTATGGCTTTTCTTGGTTGTCCGATTGGCCTCAAACCTATCAAATATCTATATAAAATTATTAATTATCGCCACAATGGGGTCGAAATATTGGATGTCAGAGAAATATTCTGCCCGTGCAAAGCCGGGTAATACTGGCTGGTTTTACAATGTTTAATTGGGGGAAAATAAAATCTCTATACATGGTTGATAAACGGATAAGAAACTTAGTCTAAGCTGTAGGCTAGTGTCCGACACGATCTCTGGGTATGAGACGCAGCTCGGAGCCATGCTTGAGGAACACATTGCCCGCCGTCTGCTGCGGACTGATGCCAATGCCGTCGTCTGTGATGATGGCGCTGGTCTCTGCGGGCACCTTGAACTCCTCCGAGGCGAATTTGAGCACAGCTGTGAATGGCGTCGCCTCCGGCACGCTGAGCACCTTGAAAGGCAGCTTGGGATCCGATGTGAGCGTTATTTTAAATGTTACTTTGCTCATTTTGTTGTTATTGTTTGGGTGTGCAGAATGCAAATACTATGTGACGTGGTCAGTTTTTGTTGTGGCTGCCAGCTGCTGTTCCAATGGCCTTGTTGGGGTTGTTGTGAGGGAACTTGCCCACGGCAATATCTATTCGAATTAAAAATTTGTTAATTGGGGCTCTTTAAAGTGCAAAAAATCGTGAATATAATTGAAAAACAAAATTTCTATTTTGCTCTTACGCGCAGTGATGTGCAAAAGAACGATAACGCATAAAACGTTTTATATCGATAACATCTATGCACAGCTACTTCCATCGCTGACTGTTTACAGCGCTTGTTGCTGCCCAGTGTTACCAATTAGCTATAGTTCACTCGAAATGTTATCCTTTGTATGCACTTATCCACTGAGATTTTAACAGCACGAACAACGAATTTAAAAAAAAATGATGCTGGCACCATTTTGATACAAAGATGATCAGAAAGTTGCGGCTATTCCGTTACCAAGCTCTTACTAATTTTAGCCGTTTTTAGCTGTTTGTCAGCAGTACAGCACTGGTATTGGTATTCTGCATAAATCTCCCGCCTTGTTATCGAAAAAACAACGCGTCTTATCGATAAAGTGTATACAATTCTCACGGTTTAGAGCGAATTTGTAAATATACGCTAGAATTTTGGGAAACGTAATTTGAATTGGGGCTTATTTGTTTGGTTTGTTGCAGAAAAACTGGAATAACGATAAGCGTACCCGTCGCAGCAACAAATCATTTCCAGCTCGTGCCTCGTCGGCAGCAAGTGTATCATATTTGGAATTTGTACGCGAAGCGGTGGGCGAAGATCTATTGCTGCCCGAGAGTCTGGGCGAGGCTGCGGCGCCACATGGCAGTGCCACGGGCTTAACGCATTTATCTCCAGAAACGCACACACAAACCAAAGAAGAAGGCAACTCCAAGTCCCATACTCAATCTGAATCTCAGCGCAAGCCTCGTCGCATAATCGACGAACGAAAACAATCCTCATCATTGACCATCAATGTGAACTACGTCTTTGGCGGTGAGCTAGGCGTAGTCAATACGTACGGAGCTGGTGTCTCTGTGCCCTTTCAGGCGAATGATTTTGCCAGCAATGTGGCGAACATAAATCGCACGCTTTATCCAACCAGCGAGTGTAGTTCCTTGGCGCTGCCACCGCCGCTGCCGTCATTGCCGGACGATGCGCCACCGGCAGTGAATCTCTGCTTTGATGCACTCACGCAAACCGTGCAAATCAAAGAGTCGGACCAGTCTGCGGAACAGACCGGAGAGCAAAAAGTAGACGTCGCCAGCAGCTCGAAGCGAGCGCGTTATCAAATTTACAAGCGGCTGCTTTTTGCACGCACACAGCGACGCCGCAACTTAACAGCGAAGTCAACGTCGGCATCGCCGTCGCGGTCGCGCTGTCGCTACCACGTGTTGCGACAGCGATTGCGCCATAAGCTACAGCTACGCTGTCAAGCGCTAATCACCTCATATGCCAGCTACCTGCAGCAGCAGCGCGAACTGTACGCCCACGCTCCGTCCGTGCAGCACTATCACAGACGCTTCCTGGCGCTCGAACTGTACACGCAGCTGCTTGTCGAACTGAATATGTTTTGCCAGAGCAAGGAACATCCGGTGCCGGTGCCGGAGACGAGCTCGAGCATGAGCTCGCCGCAGCAGCAGAAGCGACAACGCTGCGAGGAGGCGGCACGCATACGCAGAGCCAATCGGCAGGAGGAGATGCTGCGACACATGCTCAAGCCGGATAGTCCGGAGGAGCGCAATCGCAAGGATGCCAGTAAGTCCAGCGTGGGCGCTAAATTAATTCATTTAAATACGCCACTATCCTATTGCAGCCTTTGCTTACAACTTCTACGATAAAGTGGAGGAGGCGTTGCTGTCTTCCAATCGCATGGAGGACTGCCACAAGTTCAATCATCTGCTGCAAACCTTTGACCCCAAGCAGGATAAGGTAGTTGATTTGTATTTGGTGAGTGCTGTACTTTGTGATCTCTCTTTCGCTAGATCCGCTAGCTCACGCCTTGTCTTTGCCTTTTAGAAAATGGAAAAATTACTGCTGCCCGATCATCCCGAGCTGGCCGAGGTGTTTCTCAACTTTCTGCTACCTGCGGAGGCCGCTGAGCTGGGCAAATACTTTGAATACTTCATGATAACCAATGCCAGCAACTTTATCAACAAGCTTAACATCTACTTTTGCAAGCAGCCAGCGCAAATCCGCAAGATCTACGCATGCCTCAATGAACTGGCCCAGCTGCCCAGCGTGAGCATAAAGAAGGTCCAATCCAAAATTCTGCCCCTGCTCAAAGGCAATCAGTTCCTACGCGATTGGTTTGTGCAACAATTTCCACAGGCCAAGCCGCCCAAGCGGTAAGCACTTTACCCATTAAATATCTTATCATATTATATCAGGGTATCTTTTAGCTATTACTTATGTTTCTTTATTGTATATTTTAGCTTTCTGCCCCCCGTGGAGACCATGAATATGCATGAGGTGCTGGGCAATACCAGCGGTACATTTTCGGAAACCCTGCAGGATCTGCCGGATGATTCGCCGCCGCAGGCCAAACCGCCTGGCTGTCAACTGAAATATGTGAATGGACGCATATTTTATGGAGCCAAGGTGATGCTGCCAGCCAAGCTATCCTTTCGAGCGGCCAGTCTTTACAACGAGCAATGTCACGAGCCGCTCAGCAGCGACGTAACCTGTGCGCATGGCGTACGCGCACACGGTGAGAAGCTAATTAACTCTGCAGGCGCAGTGGACAGTGATGATGCGGCAGATCGCAGCGAGGAGGATGATTCCAACCGAACGCTAGTGATTGACACAACCACCGGCGACGAGGAGAACAGCAGCTCCTCCCTGGACATTTGCGATGACATGACACTGCGCGCACACGCCATGCGGCTGAATGCTAGCATCAACAGCACCACATTCAACTGGGGCCATCATCATGGGCTTCATCAGTCGCACGGCAAGAAGGCTGCCAGTAATTTCGGCGAAACCTCGCCGCGTCGTCAAACTGCGAACAATGTGTCGCCTCAGTCGGGACTGAATGCGCATGCGAGCGGCGTCTCGCCCCAGCAGGATAAGCGTAAGTCGCCCAGCAAGAAGGTGCGTTCGCCGCTGGGCCAGACGCAGGCGCGTCCACGCTACAATGTCCAGCCCATGGTGGTCATTCATGAGCCACAAGTGCGTGGGCCTGCGCCCGCCTCGCCGGCCATTGAGTTTGCGAAGCGACTGCGCACGCTGATCAGCCAGGATGGAAGCGAGCCGGACAACAAGACGGGCATACAAATCATAGCGCAGGCAAAGCGGAAGAGCAATTCACCGTCCGTTTCTAAACTAGAGCTTACCTCGCAGGAAGACCCAGAGTATCTGCCTGAGAATGCAGCAGAGACGACCCTATCGCTTCCCCAGCAGCCCTTCCAAGCTATTAAAATGGATATTGAGCCGGAGGTGACCCAACTGAGCAGCGGCAGCACACCGCAGCATGTAATTACCACGCAGTTTGACAGCGATGAGGACTGCAAACTGGACGTGGTGGCCTCGCTGGCCAACTCTGTTCAGGAGGAAGAAGTGCAGCCGAAACACGAAGTAGCCTGCACCTCCAAGGCGGAGCCCGTACAACCCAGCTCAACGGGCGGTTGGACGCGCGAGGAGGACAAGGTGATACTCATTGAGATGAAGCGTGGCGCACGCGATCGTCAGCATCTAATCAGGCGGATAGGCGCCAAGCTCAAGCATCGCAACGAGGCCGAACTGCGAGCGCGGCATCAATTTCTCATGGATTTTCTATCCAAGCTACAGGGCAAATAGAATATATTGAATGTATATAGAGAGTTTGAGTCCATAAGTCGACTGCAAATTGGTTTAACATGCATGTTAAGGCATAAACCTTAGGGACTGTCGTTTATTCATTTTAAGGCACAATTTGTATTGCGAATTAGTTTAACATTCGAGTTAGGGCTGTCTGTTATGATAAACCGCATTGATAATTAATTTGTCATGCATGTTAGCTCTGTTTTCGAGGACAAGCTTAATGCGGATTAGTTAAAAATTGATTTAAGAGCTGTTTTTTTTTTTTTCAACCCCGTTGCAGGTCAGTTTAACATGAATGTCAAGGCATAAACCTCATTGCAAATTATTTATTATTTTGATTAGAAAACTCATCGGATATTAGTTTAACATTCATGCCTAAATAGTCTTAGCTGAGAAAGCTCTTTGTAAATTGTTTTTTATCAGTTTAATCATATGTTTAAGTTAAGCAGATCAGTCGAGAAGAAATCTAGATTGGGCTTACCTGAATAAATAACAAAACTAAATGTATATATAAATAAGATGAATCTATTGTTAAAACTGGCGAATTCAGTTAAGAGATGGGCGCCTGTCGGTACATTTAAACAAATTATAAATGCTTAATAACACGACAGGCGTCCAACTCTACCTCAGTTCCACAAATGTATGTATTCTAAGGTCAAGGTATCCATAACTCATCCTCAATGGTCATGCGACGGTGGATAAAGCTTTCCCCTTAAGAGTTTGCCCGCAGTCTGCGCCCTGCTCCATGGAATTGCACACACACTTCTGCAAACTTGGTTAATTTATTGAATAATATCTTAACTAAGATCACATGGCACATGAACTGAGAACGTCCTCCAGGATTTGTTCCTCTAGCTGCCTGCAGGCGCTGGCCATGGTGATAAATACCCCCGGTTGTTGCTGCGCCTCCGCCCTGCATTGATAGTCATCCACAAAGGTGAACGTGCCCGCCACCGTCTTGCAGTGGCCGCCATCATCGCAGCCGGAATCGCTGCTCCAGCTCTCGCAGCCACACTGTGGCGGCTCATCCGGCGGCAGTTGCTGGGCTGGCACGCTGCTGACGACACGCTCCTCGGCATGCGGCTCCTGACGACGCCGCGGCCAGCTCCAGCAGCGCTGACAGCCACGCGACATGCTGGCCAGGCAACAGAGACGAAAGCAGACATCCGAGGCTCCACGCAGACACAAAAAGAATTCGGGCATGAAGCTGGGATTAATCACAGCATAGACCACAATGTTCATGCTCAGCTGGAGCGCATTTAGGGTTATGAATATGACCTCCAGATGCTCCATCAGATCCTCGTCCATTTTATTCGTATCGCCGCCAAAGAGCAGATTGAGCGAACTCTTTCTCGATGTCATGTGCGCCGGCAGCTCACCCACCATATAAAGCGTGATGACAATTAGAATGCTGATTGTGAGCTTCATTTGATGCTGCAGTGGTACGAGAAGCAGTTAAGGGTGTTGGACTGGAGAATTAGAGCTAGACATGTACCTGATAACGTTTCTGTGTGGTGCGCTCGTTGTCATTGCAGCTGCTTTGCTGGCATCTTTTGCCCTGCTTGGTCCAGCGGCGAAAGGCAATTATGATGGCCGTATTGCCAATAAGCAAAAATACGGCTGGTATCAGCGCCAGCAAGGCAAATGAGAACCAGTTGTGTATCTGATAGAACCTGCAAATGGCTTGAAGAAATCAGGATAACATTGAAAGAGCCGCCCAATATGTCCACTCACTTGGAATAGTAGAAGTCCGTGACATGGCAGGTGGCCGTATCCAAGTCGACAACAAAACAAAAAAAGTACGGCATATTGACCAGGATGGAGATGAGAATAACGAAGCAGATCATAAAGCGTGCCACCTTGCGACGACAAAATCTGGGTGCACCGTTGCCGACCGTAAAGCGTGACAAATAGATAAATCTATCAAGGCTAACGCAGGCCAATATTAGATTGGCAGCGCCCGTGCTAATGCCAAAGAGCGGCGTCTGCCACTGATAATCGTAGGCCACCCAGGCGGCGCTCTGATAGAAATAGCTGCGCGAGAGTGCGGTCAATGTGATGAGCAGGCAGGACACGCAATCCAGCCAGGAAAGGGCAGCCAGGTAAGTGAAAGCCGAGGGCGTCATCTTGGGTCGCATAAAGACGACAGCATTGATGAAGTTCGCGCAGAGACCAAACGAGGCCAGGGTGGGCACCGCCAAGCCATAGATCAGAAATATGGTTACGGTTGGCGTGGTGCGCTGGAACATGCACACATCGTTCGAATGGAGCTGGTAGCTGGAGTTGGAATTGGCGTTGGAGTTGGAGTTGGATTTGTTGCTGGCGAAATTCAGGACAAAGTAATCCAACATGTCTGACTAACTGACTGATTGCTGACATACTGAATGGGTGCGAGCGATATGTTTATCTAATTATTCACAAATACAGTCGATAAGATTATCTATAGTTAACGCACACATAATGTTAATTTGTGAGCAATCAAAGATAGCAAGGTACTCAAGTTTCGAAAGCCTAGCACCGACTATAGTTCCAGAGGATTGCATGGGTTTCTGGCATGTTCTGCTTACATTATATTTTTAAAGCAACATTTCTTCTCTCTCTAATACATATAATTTATTTACACTTTTGCAGAAATTGAAGCCAATGAGAATTGTGTAGACAGGCGTTAATACCTTAATTGCGATGCCAAGCAAGGCTTGGGCTGTTTGCCCAGGTAAGGTAAGACTCTTTATTGTAGCTACTAGAGTGCTTAGTCGTTTTTTATTTGTTTTAATTTTATATATTTGTCTTATTTTTAGAATAAGTTGTTTAGAATAAGCTGTCTGCTCAGAAGGGGTAACACTTTATATTGTATCTATTAAAAAACTTTTTGTGCCTTTTATTTTTTTTAGATTCGTCTATTACATATAGTTTACTTCGTCCAGAAGAGGTAAGACTCAGTACTATATCTACTAGAAAACTTTCTATTGTTATACTTATTATTATTTTAAAGAATTATCTATTACTTATAATTCATTTTCTCTTTCAGCTCATCGAAGAACAAATTTAAGCCAATGAGAAGTGCATAAAAAGGCTCTAATGAGTTAATTGCAATGATAAGCAAATGAGCATCGAGTAGAACGGCAAAAGGAAGTGGTGTTTGACCAGGTAAGGCTCCGTACTGTATCTTCTAGATAACTTGCTCCCTTAGTATTTGGTTTGAAATTATAGTGTAGTATTTATTCGTATATATACGAGCATGATTCATGCTTATGCCATTTGATTTACTTCAGTTGTATTTTTTTTGATTTGTTGCTGATTGGATTTATAAATTACGTATATGTCGTATATCGATAGACACACAAACAAATCCCCCGATGTAGCATTCGTTTTAGTTTAGCTTTCGGTTTGTTTGGTTAGACGCCAAGAATAATATCGGGTTTTTGTTATTTTTTGAAGTAATTTATTGAGTTGAATTTAGGTTTTTTGTATCTTTATATAGTATGCTTACGGCAAACATCGAGATTTGTATTTGATTTGATATATATGTATATATTTTGTTGTTGTTTGTAGTTGAATTTGTACTAAAATTAATGTTTCATTTATAATTAAATATGCGATTTAAAAAAACACACACATATGAGTTGTTCAAAAATACTTAAAAAATAATTGAAGTATGTTGTAAAAATGTTTTTTGCTCTAAATAAAAAATCAAATAACAATAATAAGTGTATATATTCCATACATATACATATATAAGTATATAGCTATGCATTTGTATAGTTCCATAGTAAAATTAATGTTAATATTAATGCATAATATATATCTTTAATATTTTAAACAGACTTGGAAATTTTGTTTTGTTGTTGCCATCAAATTCATTAAAGTAATCAATTAACTATAGTTACTCATACTACACACGCACACATTTATAAATATATTATTATTTATTTATATTAAATAATGTAGTATATCATACCATATACGAGCAAATTTACGTGTAGAGTACAATCTGTTGAACTTGAACTTTAAGTGGTACTCGTCATAGTCATATTTAGTCACAAAATTAGTTTATTTCCAATAATAATTTTAGTATTTATTTTCTTAGAATATATATATATATATATTTGATTTTTAATTATTTAATATTCGACTGTGTTTGAAATAAACGTTTTTAAATGCTTCAAGTTCGGAGTTATACATTTTTTTTTATAAATATAAATAAGTTACTTTAGATTTTAAACGAATCTTGTATTTGAAATTGCAACTACTTTTGTTAATTTAATTTAAGTTAGTTTTTATTAGTTTTTAGTTTTTGTGCCCTAGCGTTAGCACATAGCTTGGCTACTAAGTTATCGTTTGATAAGATTCCTTTCTATATTTAATAGAATATATTTATATAATTAGTTTATGTATATTTGTTCTATATATGCCTCATGCAAAAGCCGACAACTTTGTTGATATAACTCGTCAAATTTTAGAGTATTTCGAATTTCTTATGCTTCTAGAAAGAAAGATAGCTACGAGAGGCACAAAAGCTTAGCTTAGGCTGCGCTACACAAAATATTTAATTTCGATTTAAATTTAAAATTCTTTTTATAATATTTCTTGTTCTTTTTGGTATTTCTTTTGGTAACTGAAGTTCTTGATATAACACGCATGTGTTTCTTTTAAGCTTATAGTAGATTGTCTTTTCTCATAGTTAAACAGTAGTTAATTAGCAGCTAAATTTTAGTTAGGTACTAAAGTTTCAACACGAAGATAATACATACATATGCACTATATATATATACATATATATTATTCCATCTATAGTTAGACTTTGGAAAGCTACACTTCTGGCGCAGTTAAGAGCAATAAATTTAGTTTATTCTTAGACTAAACCTAAACTTTCTTTTAGCTTTAACTTATTGCTATGCAATTTGTTTTGCTTTTAATTTTTCTTTCTTTTTATTATTATTATTATGGTACATTGAGACTCTATGCCGTTTATATGTATGCATATATTCGGTTAATATATGCTAGAAATCGTTTAATATTCATATAATTTATACACACACATATACAGCTAATTAAAAGGTGATAAATAAGAAATACGCACATAAGTATGCTATGATATTTCTGAATGTTCGAAATCAATGAAAAGTGCTCAGAATATATATGTATTTATATACTAAATTGTCCATGCCAACTTGCTTAAACGCATATTTCGACTTGCTTATAATGTAGGGGCCAACATTACAATCGAACAACGTTTAAAGCTCTCAACCGAAACGTAGTATCCTCCATCTAATTGCTGAGTGTGACTAAAAAAGAAAGATAAACTTTAGAGCGAGACAGAGAGAGAGAGAGAGAGAGAGAGAAAGAGGGAGAGAGAGTGAGAAGGCGCTAAAGATCAGCTAGTTGGAGAGCATGTGTATATCTACATATATAACTTTATGTGATAACATTGAGATGTTTGCTAAATTGTTTTAATATATATTTTAATGCTTAATTTAATACTTGAATCTGAATGTGAATCTTGAGAATTTGAAAAGTTTTCAAATAGTTGGCGAAATTGAAAATATGAAATATGTGAAGCGCATGACTGCGTTAGGGAAAAGTTTTTGTTTAGTTTGGTTGAGTTTAGTTTAGTTTAGTTCGGTATTAAGTTGCGAGAGACAGAGAGAAAAGCGTTGGGCAATGGTATATAAAATAAAAGTTTTTATTGCATACTTTTCATAGTTTTTTCTTCTTCCATATTTTTAATTTTAATGTGTTTTTTGGCTTTGAGTTGCAGTTCCAACGTGGAGCAAATGTTTAACAATGATTGATAATTGTTTTTAGAACTAAATGAATATGTCGTGTATGTTAACTTAGTGTACTCGTGAGTGCCTAACAATTAGTCAAAGATTTAATTAAGCAATAAATAAAAGCTTAAGACAACAAATTATTGCTTTCGTTTAGCATAAATAACAATTATGATATGACTAACCGAAAACAAATAAACAAAAAAGTATTTATGATGTCTTTTTTTAATAAACAATTAATATCAACTGACGACACAACTCGCTGGTTCCGTTTCCGTTTGATTGTTGCTTACAGCTGCTTATGGGCTGACAATGTATTCGGGATTCACATAGGAGAAGCCAACAAATTCCGATTGATCCAGATTCATCATAAACACCTTATCCGTGGGCGTCAAGTCTGTTTTCTCTGATGTGAACTGCTTATCAAAATTGGACACATCCTTGCGGTGTTTCTGAGCGGCAGGACATTATGGTTAGTGAAGGATTCTTTTAGTTTTTACAATAGATAACTTACAATTTTTGGCTTGAACGGCGGCTGTACCTCACGATTTTCTATCTTCTCCCAGTCGATGCGCCGGAAAAATGGATGCAAACGCACATCCTCCTCGCCGGAGGCGCCACAACCTAAACGCTTGTTGGGCTGCTTGGTCAAGAACTGCGGCAGGCAGAAGGTAAGTATATAAATAAATTAAATTTTGCTTAACTTACGCCCTTGCACGCCTCCTTGGCCTCCTTGCTGAGACTCTTGGGATATGATACATTATGATCGGTTATGGCCGCAAACAGCTCCTCCTCATCCTCTCCATCGAAGGGCGGTTGACCCACTAGCATCTCATAGAGAAGCACACCATAAGCCCACCAATCCACAGACTTGCCATACGGCTGATAGAGTATTATCTGTGAATAGACCAAGTTTAGATAGCTTCCTTAAATTCTGCTGTTTAACCCTGACCTCTGGCGCTATGTAGTCCGGTGTGCCGCAGAATGTTTTGGTCGTCTTCTCGCCCATGATGTTCTCCTTGCACATGCCAAAGTCGGCGATTTTTACATGTCCATCGGCATCGAGGAGCACATTGTCCAGCTTCAGATCCCGATACAAAATGCCCTTGGCATGGAGAAAGAAAAGTCCTGCCGCAATTTCCGCAGCATAAAATCTGGACGCGAGTAAAAGAATATGCTATAAGATATCTTCAGAACTGGCCGCTAAATACTTAACAACTTACACGGCGACTGGTTCCTTGAACTTGCCAAATTGTTGTATTTGAAACATTAAATCACCGCCGTTCACATACTCCATGACAAAGAACAGGCGATCCTGTGCGAGTAGAGACTGTGTAAATTATTCAACTTAAAGGATTACGTATACGCACCATGGTCTGAAAGCAGGAATGCAGTTGGACAAGAAACGGCGGCTTCTCGCCCAGCGCCAGTACACGCTTCTCAATCATGGTGCACTCGACATCGTCATCCTGTATAATCACATCCTTTTTGAGTATCTTGATTGCATACAGCTCCTCGCTGCCCTTGCGCTCCGCCAGCAGCACCTGCACATGCACATGCCGCAAAAGTTTCACAAGTTCAACTTTAATTCGGGTCAAATTCTGTCAATTTACCTTGCCAAAAGAGCCCTTGCCCAGCACTTTAATAAAATTAAAGTCTGTGGCACGTATCATGTCCTTTTTGGACTGTGAATGTGTGTGTGTATCGCAGCGCATCATCGGCTGCTTCCGCTGCGACGGCTTCTGCTTCAGCTTGAGCAAATCCTGCTGATCATCCGCACAGGGCACATTGTAATATTCACCCTCATCCTGTGTCAGCAGCTTGAACCAACCGTTGGTGGGATTCTTGATAATCTCCGATATGCCAAACGACAAGGCGCCCATAAAATCATTGCGTGAGGTTCGATCCCAGTCCCACACCTCAATCAATATGCGTCGATCCTTGTCCTCCGGCTTGAGATCGCTGCAAAAATCAAGCTTTTGAGTGCCGCAAAAGAAAACTCGTAGACAATCTATTTATCCTACTAGCTAATGGTCTCATTCCACACGGGATTGAGGCACGCCTTGATGGTGCGCGTCTTCTTCTTGGACTGATCCTTGTCATCGGGTATCAGCTTGACCTTCACATACGGATCGCTCAGTCCATTGGGGTCCATGGGTATTAGATTTCTCCCCTCCTTGACTGCAATCATAAACGTGACCATAAGAATTTTTATATGTATTTTCTGCAACAGTCAGCCAGCAGCTGGCAAATTGTGCAAGCGCAAAATTCTATAAAATATGCCAACGCATTATCCTGGCCCATTGTTATTGTTCACGTGCTTCTTCGCTTCTTTCACCTCCTGCCCGTCGTCTCCTCTGCCGTCTGCTTCAGCTGGCTTAACATATTTTTATCACGCTTTTGTTTAGCAACTGCATTTTAGTATTCATTATGTGGCATATTGTGTGGAGAGTTTTCTTCATAATGAATTAATGCAAATCATAAGCAATTTGCCAGCGTCTCAGCTGAGGGACAAAAGCAGCCCCAGGGCAATGCGAGGCTTGAATACTAAATAATTTCTGTTCAGATTTTGAATTTAAAGAGTACAGGATAGTAAATAAATCGAAATATTGCCTTTTGCTCTTTAAGGCGCCCGAGCAGGGACAATTAAGTGTTGGACAATTATAAGAAGTGTCAAAATCCCAGATGGAATTATTTAGATGCGCTTAAAACAGATTTCTTGAATTTAGCTTGCTTACAGTGAAATCTTTTTTGTTGGGAAATATGTGAAAATAACAAATTTAATAGAGCCTTAACTATATTTCTTGAAATGAGCTCTGTTTGCAGTTACAAGTATAGTGTTAAAAAGTATGTTAACATAACAAAACTAAGAGGGCAGTTTCCTCAAATTTAGCTATGCATACACGATACACATATAGTGTTGTGATCACAGTTACAAGAATAGAGTTGTAAAATTTGTGAAAATAACAAAATCAATCGGTTATTGAAATAGATTAAAAACGGGGATTTCTCGCATTAAAGGCCAGACTTAGTGTTGAAAAACGTGTTACAAATGAAAATATTATTTTTTAGTACTTTAAATCTGGAATAAAGAGGTGTAACATGTAAACCAAGTCAGAATTGTAATTCTTCACAGTTGCCGTTGTTAGGAAACAGTCAGAAATTTAACATTTTAGGCATCTTGTTAGTGAAAAAACTTTGCAACTGCTTTCCATAATTTTTTATTGTATTTTTTTTTATTATCTTCTCGTTTGTAAACTTCTGCGCGAGGTGGAGGCTTATGGTAAACTTGTTGGGCGCCGCAATTGGTTAAAACTTAAGCGCTTTACAGTCGTATTTCAGCGGTGGAGTGAAATGTGGTTGGGGGTCTCGCCAACAAGTTGGCAACAACTTAAGAGCTTGGTCGTAATACGCTTAGAATTGGGTGCATTACTCGTACTTACTGTGCACGGTGAGCAGATGCTCTTTGACATTTATCTCGAGATAGATGCGTCCCCGTCGCTCCGTATGATCGCAGCCGCACAAGCTGGGCACGTTCTCCTTGCAGCGTGCATGTACGTTCATATCGCATGCTAAATAAGGTTGAATGTATATGTATTCGTTGCCAGGTCGTAGGTCACGTAGTGGAATAAAGATAAGTCGCTTGTTAGTGGCCACTTGGCAAACATTGAAATAGATGGTCAGCTCGGGCGGGAGAAAGTTACAGAGAATAGATTGAAAGTGATTTCTTTAGCTGTTGGCGGTGCTACAGGAATAGCAACAGGAGGCTGATATATACGCACACACACACAGACACACACATATATATATACACACACGCGCACAGGACACGCGACAGGACACGCATACAAAGTGAGTTTTGATATAGCTCAAGTACTTACCCCACAATCCATAAGCCCATTGAATACGAAAGTGAGGAAAAAAAACATATATCCTCGGCATGCCGAAGCCTAGAATACTCTTGCGGACGATTGTGTATATAAGACATATAAATAAGAGAGGCTAGAAACTAGAGTAGCAGACAGACAGACAGATGTATCTAAATCGCCTGTTAATACTGATGAATATATATATATATACTTCTTAGCTACATATATGTATGCTTCGTGGCAAAACTAATGTACCCGCTGCATGGAAAGTAAATAAAAAATTGTCGCCTACTTCGTTGGGAAACATCTGCGCCCGGTTATCAATCAGCGCGGCAATCCAATAAACTCATCCGCCTCTCTCATCCAAATGCCAAATGCGTTGCCTCCTATCCTTTTGCTACGCCCACATGGAACGCCTCTTGGGCAATACAAAATCAACGCCAATTTGTGTTGTCGACTGCAATTGCAATCAATTTGGCAGCGGCAAAAACGGGTCAATGCGAAAAAACTGTTGCATAGTTTGAGGCGCACATGTCGCAGGCATATGCACAGGATATACACACAGGCCAGAGTTGCCCAACAGGGTTGCACTGGGCAGTACTCGAAATGCATTCAATTGGAAATAATTGCAAATGGAATTGTAATTCATTTTGCACTGCAACGCATGTGCTCAATTCGTAAATAGAATTTTAAAAATTCCCTGATACATGGTGCGGTCGATCAGGAAAGGCCGCTTTTTTGACTGAGCTAAACGGAATATTAATCAAATTGGCATTTTTTGGGGTATTATCGGAAGTATTAGTTAAACGAACATTTCCAGGGACTAAAAGGACTTTTCAAACTCATCTGATTTGGGTAAGTGCTAACAATTCCTTATCATTTTTTTCTATGCCTTATTAATTTGAAGAAGTCTCAGGATATTTATTTGAAGAAGTTTTTACCCTTACTAGAAATTCAACTATTTAATAAACTATTAACTATTTGAATATCTATTCACAACGACGAACGAAAATAGGTGCACGAAAATATTGTATAAAAAGTAATTTAAGCTATTTTCTTGTTTTGGGTAATCTACGAACTAATCAAAAGCATCTGGGCTAAAATAATTGATAACATTGTTGTAGTGATAAATCGAAATCAAAGCTGCAACATATATCAATTTATGCTCGTAGTCTAAATCGGGGTACAGGGTATTTGCGATTCGATAACTTCACTATCCACCCTCTAAACCTGCTTATGAAGTTAACTGTAATTGACCAGCTCATCGCTCATTATCATCATGTTCATCCGCAGATATCGCTATGATTGTCAGGCCTTTCGGTCCCGGGGCGTTGCATCATTGGCTGATTTCATGGCATTTTCTCGCTTTTTTGTTGTGTTTTTATATTTGTTTCCCTTTCGCTTTCTTTTGCCGCTTTTGCTCATGTGTAAAATTACTTCGGACATCGCTCACAGCCCACACCCGCTGCGAAAAGTATGCGCCATTGGGCGGCTGCATCGACGTCATTTGGCTGTTGAGGCGCACGTGGCGTATACGTATTTTCATTTTCATTTTTTTTCTGTTGCGAAACTTTCGCTTGTTGCTTGCGTCGCATGGAAAAAGTAATCATTTTTTGATGTCCACAAGCTTACTAGGGCGTTGGGGCGTGGCAGGCTGGTCAGTTGGGCAGTCTGTGTGTTGTGTTTAATGAAAATATGAAAGAGTTGTTTTTTTTTTCGTTTTCCTTGCGGCACACAACAAAAAACACAACGTCAAATAACAAAAATGAAATATAAAAAGGTTTTCCCCTAGCGTGCCACATTTCGTAGAGCAAAAAAAACAACAACAACAACTGTGGGTGTGCTTGTGTGTGGCCCAGTTCTGCGTTTGCCGCTTTTTTGCGTACAATTATTTATTTATATAGAGCCTCATATGCAGGCTTACTATATATTTTAAATACCCTCTGAGTGCTGTAAATTGGGCATGCCAAATTGAGCTATGTAAAAAAAAAGTATTTACAAAAAAAGTGCACAAATTTCTACTTCAATTCGGCTTTATTGAGAATTTGCTGTCGTCGCTCACATAGCATTGTTTCAAAACTTTTTACAGGGTATGCTGCTATTGAGCTTATGCCTGAAACTGACTTCCTTCTTTTTCTTGTTATTGCATATTCGGGCAGCAGTTTTTTGTGTGCCTTCCGATGAGTTTAAAGTTGGCCGCTTTGCTGGTCTGAATAACAGGCCAAATAATCTTGTTTCCACAAATATTCCATAGTTGTTTTAAGTATTTACGCAACTTGTGGCCTTGCTAGTCCATAAGGTTTATAGCATCTGTTTTGCAAATCTTTCAATATCCTGAACTGCGCCCAATCTAAGTCAATTTTAATATTTGATTTTCCTTTGTTCATGCTTAAAATGAATTGTGCACATAAATTTTCTGCAATTCAGAATATCAGACTTTTCTTTCAATCTCTGTTTGCTAGTCAAATTTATGATAAGAATGAAATTTTAAATCGAATTCCAATTTAAATTCATATAGATTGGTATCTTAAGGCCTTATTAATGCTTACTGCATAAATGACCTCTAAAGTTCCAGAGCTCCGCAAAAGTATTCTAGCCAGATTTCAAAAACTTATTTACTTGTCAAGACCTTGTCAATTGTGTGAGTTACTTAGAACGTCATGTGCTTACTAGCTTGTTTGATTAATCAATTCTCCAATTGTTTGTAATAATTCAATTATTGTTATATTTTTTTGTTTGTGAAAATATCCTGTGTGGGAACCATGTGATATATGCTCAATAATTCAGAAGCACAAATGAGGCAAAACCAAAAACACAATTGCAATAGAATTGTAAACGTTGTAAAGCTGGTTGAAATAACACACATGCACACACACACACACACAAGCACATATGCACAAAATTGGCGCTCGATAATGACAGTCACACACACAGACACACAGACACACACACACGCACTTCCGGCAACGGCTACGGCTTATTGTTGGAGAATTTTCTGTTGCCACATTTACATTTCCATTTGCAATCTGTTTGCTTGGGACTGTTTTCAATGCGTGTGTGTGTGTGCGTGTGCGTGTGTAGTGGTCTGTTTATCTATTGTTATTGTTGTTGTAGTTGTTGTCGCTGTGGTTCTACTTGTTTGCCTGGCCGGGGCAATGAGGCGTAAGTAAATTATTTGTTTGCCAAGGGGCCATGCCGGATATTAAGGCAACAATTTGCGCTGTCTAACAAATGATTCGGAAAATTGTGTAGTTTTATCTGCTTTCTTTTTCCTTGTTGTTCTTTTTTGCGGCAAACCAAAAATTATTCAAAGCAAAAGGACAACAAAACTAAGTTATATAATTAACATTCAAATGCCGCAATTTGCAATGCGGCGTTAAAACAAATATTGTTGATATGATTAGCGGGGCAATGCGAATTCTCGCAGGCAGCTGTAAATTCTAGTGACAACAACAAAAACAATTTACAACAAGCTGCTAAGGTGCAAGCAAATATTTGAAAGGGGCGTGGCACGGTGAAAGGGCGGCAACGTGTCAACAACAAGCGCAATGGCGACAACAACAATAGCATCAACAGAAACTCAAGTGCGTCACACCCACACACACAACATACACACACAGCACACGCAATACACACACACACACACACACAACACACACACCCAACAACGTGGCAAGTGCGCACTTGAGTCGGAACAAAGCGCTGCTAATTGTAAATTGCAACAATCCAAAAATGCGAACTCAACCAACAGACGAGACGATTGCTTAGATGCTAAAAGAGATGCTGGGCTAGAAATGAGCGCGTGTCACGAAAGGCATGACAATACAGCTTTGAAATTAATAAACAGAAAATAATACATTAAAAAAAAATAAATAAACGAAAAGCACAAATTTCCAAAAAATAATGAAACAAAATATAAGTAATAAAAAACGTATTTAAATAAAACTAAGCCTTAATTAATTGAAAATAAATGTTTTGGCTCATCTAACAAAATTAAAAATTATACTTTAAAGAACATACAAAAATATTTAAAACTAGGTTCAGAAAAAATAACTTTTCTTAGGTCAATGGAACAAATTCTTTTGGCCAAAAAAAAAAAGAAAATTAATAATAAATAAAAAATAAATAAACTTAATATTATCTAAACTTATATTTATAAAATTAAGCGAAAGTAATTTTAAATTAAAAAAAAGCTAAAGTCATAAAATTTTCAATCTTATTTTAAGCAAATTTTTGTTCGTTTTTTTTGTTTAAATAATTCTTCCTAAACGCGCCCATCTCTAGTTAAAACACTCACATAAACATACGCACACACACACACACACAAACACACACACTATAGTGAGCGTGAGAGACCCAAAAAGAAATAGAGAGAGAGTGTCTACGTTCGGACATACAGTTGGACATTACCTCGACACTTGAGACCCTTGTGCGTGATGCCGTGCAAGAGCGAGCCGCAATGATCGCAAAACATCGGCGATAGGAAGGCAACGTTGTGCCATTTGTGTGGCATCTGGTGTGCCTGAGAATTGGAACAGTTGGAGAGAGCTAATGGAAAATTAACGCAGGTTTTTCGCTATGAACGCGTACATTTAACTCTAAAGCAATGCATAAATTACGATTAACAAACAACTAACAGCCAAAAATAAAAAGAAAACATCAAAAACGTGGATGACTTTTAAAATAAACGCCAGATTAATTGA